CTGGTCGCATTGTGTAACCCGCCAAAACTCATTTCTACTGAAACTGATCTCGTAACTTTCCAGGAGTTTTATTACCTTTAGAAACGTAATCATCATGTATTCTTGTTGTGTTTTTTTCATATGTTGTTCAGTGTGCACACGTCTGGTGGTGATTTATGAACAATTTGTTTGCGCGTTATGCAGGTGTGTCTCTATAGTTTAAATATTACGAAAGTTGTAAACGTACGTAGCTCCCAAACTAGACATCTTCTACAATATCCTGTACATTGTATTTGTCTGTGGATCTTGATTTCTGTTTTTAGTCAATTTTGTGTTTTGCACTTGCTTAGCACATTTTGCAAGTTGGTTAGTTTGTGTAAATCACTGTTTTATGAACTTGTGTATTTTTCCCCTTAGGTAAGGCATAAAATTTGCATTGCGAAGATGCGAAATTCCTGAACGAAGGGTCTGCTGGAGCTTGTTAACGAACCCGCTGTTAATCAATTTTTCATTTGTGCGAACTTCCATTTCCCACCAACTCACACCTCCTTTGGATAAAACTCGCATTGTTCCATGTTTCTGTCACCCTTAGGCATTACAGTGTAGCGAGCCTTCAGAGGTATGAAACTACGACAGATGTACACTGTAACCTTTGTCATGTAAGGTCGCAAAATTTCGGACAAGAGTACAACTAAAAGCGTGTGTAGCGATACAATTTCTTCAATAAATGCGAGCACACAGCTCACGTGCTGCTTCGATACGCAACTTGTAGAGAAGCTGATGTTGTGATCGTTGCTCATAATACATTTGCCGTAGTGCTCGTGTTTATACAGACACCTATCCATAGCTAGGGCTTCATCTGAGAAGTCCCACGAGCAGCCAATCTTCGTTACGTTGCTGAAAAATCAAACCACATAATGTCAATACTACGTACAAACACCTATTCGTATAGCCAGGACTTCATCTGAGAAGTCACATGTGCAGTCGGCCTTCGGTACGTAGCTGAAAAATCAAATCACATAATGTCCATTCTACGTCAAAAAATTCTCAGCTTAATCTTACTTAAAGTACTTTATCGCTTGCTAGGAAACATTTCGAGTCTGCGAAAGTCTACCACGTCTACTCATATTGGTTGATTACCATCTCTCACGGTCGATATGCACGGAGCGTGTTCTCACTTGAGCATGTTCGTGCTAAACTGAGGATGACTTGGTCATTAGTGTGTCAAAGAATCTCCAATATCTAAGTCTTTGATGTCACACCATTGGCGGCATGTGTAGCACCAAAGCGAAAAAAAAATTGATCACATGCCCGTCGTGTACATCTATAACGTGTTCTCTGCAAGCTGGAAAAATACCTAAAGGTACTTTTGTTTCGTGGTGAAGCGTTATCGGTAGAATCCGGGGCCCATGTCTAGAAAACCGACAGTAGAAATTAAAAAAAATTCTTAAGAGACTTTCTCGGCCAATCACAATGCGGAACCTATTTTCATAGCACCAGATGCACAACGAGACGGTGCACTTGTGAAAGAACTTTCAGGCGCGAAGCACCATGAGGTGAGGCTTTTCTGTTTCGCATCCGCGGTCACGGCACTCCGCAGCAGACTGGTTGCTCAAATATAATAAACAGATTCCGCAAAGCATGAAAACCGATGAATTTGAGTTAGATTTACGGTTTGTATTGGTTCTCAGAACGGTCCCTTCGCCATTTAGGTAATGTTTTTTGCATAAAAATAAAGGACAAGGTGAAGAAGCACATTTCTTTGAAGTCACATATCTCTTTTTTCGTGCTTGCTCTTTTCAGTTAAGCACCATGTCTGCGAAAATTACTATTTGTTCTTAAAGACTGAAAATATTCGATAATTGCTGATATTGTAGGCATCTATTATGCACTTATCCTAATTTGAGCAGCAATAAAGTAATTATCACCATTCAGTTTGCCTGACCATCATCATCGCTTTTGGGTGTGCGCTTTATCAGCACATCCAGAATATATGCAAAATTCTTCTGTGTTTTCATATAATTGCATTGCTCTGTAGGAACTAATATATCTGCAATGTTATTCTGAGTTTGGACATAATGAAAATGTTATGTAGGCACAAATACACCCACAAAATTATTCGTAGTTTCTACTTAATTTAAACATCATTTCGGCGCTAATGTAGAGCCGTTCTACTACACTGTAAACAGAAATAAGCCGAGATGGGAGTAAATGACCTTGTCCTCTAGCGCACGTCCCGATGGGAGTTTTATAAACACCTCCGTTGGGAGTAAAAAGTTTACTCCCCATCAGTTGGGGGTTTTTGCATGGTGCCAGGGGGGTTTTTATTTACATCCATTGGAGAACTTTTTGAGGTCAGTATGGGAGTAAATTTTTTGCATCGACAGAGAAAAAAATTACGTCAGCAGCCGTACCATGCGCAAGCGTAACTTTAATTACACAACATTTAAAGCGCACAACAATGATTACAGTACACAAACATTATCACAACGTTCAAGTTATATCACAACACTCGCACTCACCACAGCTTGCCACACGCAGTACACACATACCAAATAGTCACCGGGTATATATATGCACCACATTTTTACCTCCCATGTAGCCCTGGCGAAAGCTTTTTTCCGCTGTTAATTAGGCAATAAATACGCACGGCGTAAGTATAAACTTGCGGTGGTCAGATGTAAGCACTTCAACACACATGCCTTTTATCCTAAGCCGGTCTAATATTTATTATTTTTTTTTACTATAGCGAAAAAGTTTCATCAGTTTACGCTCTGTCGTACGGGCTGAATTTGCATTAGCAGTACTGTTTGTGGACCCGTAAAATGCACGGAATCATACACAAAGTGTGCGCGGCCTTGGATGAACACATTAACGAGGCACATTTAGCAGCTCCAGCGATGAACCGAGGTAGACCGCCGCTACCGCGTTCGACGACTAGGCCTCACTCACGAGTACGGCACGGCGATTCGATGAATGACAGCTGGCGATCACGAAATGCTTGCCGATGTGCAGTTTACGTCTCCTTTTTCCCATGCACAGAAATAGGTGTCCGCTACCCACGCAGTTTAAGCTACGGAGCGATAGACTTGAACGAATGAGACGGTTCGCAGTCGCTGTTTCCCGTTGCTCGCATGCATTGCATGTATAGCTCGCAGAGCTCGCCACGGCGGCCGGTGCGCAGTGCAAGCTCGATAGGATGCCGGCTTGATACCGACGCCATATCGAGGCCTTGATTGATTGATATGTGGGGTTTAACGTCCCAAAACCACTATATGATTATGAGAGACGCCGTAGTGGAGGGCTCCGGAAATTTAGACCACCTGGGGTTCTTTAACGTGCACCCAAATCTGAGCACACGGGCCTACAACATTTCCGCCTCCATCGGAAATGCAGCCGCCGCAGCCGGGATTCGAACCCGCGCCCTGCGGGTCAGCAGCCGAGTACCTTAGCCACTAGACCACCGCGGCGGGGCTATCGAGGCCTTCCTACCGCTTAGATGTTGCAGCCGGTGAAATACCGGTGACACTCCGAGAAGCCACTATCGGCGGAGACCGGGCGAGCGCGTCGCCGGCGCAACTCTCAGACCGGTTGCCGGCCAGCCTGCCGTAGTCGAGCGAAGCCTACTTCGAACCGCTTCGAAGTTTTACGGTGCAATCGCTGACGATCGTACTCCACCTCGTTTGACGCTCGCCTTGCAGTTAGTCATTGACAGCTGCGGTCGCAAGGCGCAGAAGACTGTTATACATCCCAGCAGCCTTCATTTTTTTTTTTTTGTGAAACACATTCTTTGCATCGCCGGTGGTCGGTGCTAGCTCGTAGCGCTTGCCACGGTGGCCGGCGCGCAGTGCGAGTTCGATACGATGCCGGCTTGATACCGACGGCATAGCGAGGCCTTCTTACCACTTAGATGTTACAGCCAGTGAAATACCGGCGGCACTCCGAGAAGCCACTATCGGCGAAGACGGGGCGAGCGCGTCGCCGGCGCAACTCTCAGACCGGTTGCCGGCCAGCCTGCCGTAGTCGAGCGAAGCCCACTTCAGACCACTTCGAAGTTTCTGATGGTGAAATTCCAGGAACAGCCGCTGACGATCGTAACAGCTTACTTTTGCTACCATTAATTTATTCTTCGAAGTTTTTTGTTACTCGGCCCTTTGGAGCGCGGTATTCACGACGTTTCGTTGAGGAATCGGACCGATGTGCAGCGTGGTTTAACGGTGCGAAATATATTGAAATGTTCCCAGTAAATACCAACCGGTCGTTGCTATTCTTCGCTGCACTTATAAATTCGTTGCCTGTTGACAGATGCTTACACGGTTAGCCAGACAAAGCACATGTGTTTCACACCGACGTGCAAACATATGCCCGTACACACACATACACACACACACACACGCACACACACACACACACACACACACACACACACACACACACACACACACACACACACACGTCACGCCAAAAGAGGGTTTTTAAAGCTCCTATAGGGAGTTTGTAACCACGTGACCTGAAACTCTCTGAGGAGTTTAACAAGGCCATGTCGTTCATAAACTCTGTGATTAAGGAGGGGGCGTTTTACGATGACCTGTGCCGAGTTCATTCCCTACCAGGGAGTAAATAATTGGGGCAGGGGAGTTTTGTGGGCTCATGTGCTGGAGAAACTCCCATCTCGGCTAACTTTTGCTTACAGTGTACCGTACGCATAAATATTTCGAGCCCTCAACTTCATAGAATCAAGGATGGTTAAAAAGATCATGGGCCGTTAATTTAGGCTGGCCTTTTTCATCTCAATCTTTTTGAATTGCCTGCCAGTTTCCGTCTGAATTCCTTACAATGAATCTATTATAACTCTAACTGCTGTCATATATTTTGAAAATGATCTCTCTATGTCTAGAAGATGGATAGAAAAAAAAAGAACGACCAGCCAATTTAACATCCACTTGCTGTGTCAATAAAATGGTACCGCCCTAAGCGAAATGAAATAATATCAAGCAAGCAAAAATAAAAATACACACTGGCAAATGTTGCAAGCGGCTGTTCTCCAAGAAACTGAGCTTTCTGGACACGAGGGTGGCGTGCCTGGGAATATTTCGGCGGTTTGGCTGCAAGAGAACGCGCAGAATGATGACAGATCATCGAGGCCGCTATATACAGATATAGCAATAATAATCAAAACAAGCAGGCGAACGTAACAACACATATAAGGAATGTGTCCAGAGACTCACGAAGCTTCGGCGCGGGTGCTTTGTCCAATCGTCCTAGATAAAGTTTATCGTGCGTGCTGGACCATTCTGCAAAATAATTTGCCAGGTGTTGTTAGTAAAGACGATCGTTGTATATTAGACAGGCGTGGAGCACCCCTGAACTGTGGAGTGAGAACAAATATCTAACAGGCAAACAAAGTTTATACACCTTTGTCGTCTGGAGAGTCCGGAGAACCAGGTGAATTATCGTCATGTGAAGGAATAGGTGTGGGCTGTTCTGAGAGAGTCGCAGTGAGACCATCGGATGTGAACGCCTCGCACACATAGAGTTTAACGCAGCAACAATGAAACGGGAACTTACGTACTTAGAATTCGTATAGGCGGCGTGGGCACCCGGTCCTTTCCTCCATACCCACGGGGAGGCTCGGGAATCCGGGGAAATGTTGTCTGGGGTTTTCTGCGAGGCGTTCCCACTTCAGTGAGGTGTAAGGCGTAGGTATGACGCAATAAAAGTTGACAAAGCACGCAAAAGGGAAAATGCATACCTGGATCAAAAGGAAGCATTCCTTTTCGACGTGCTATACGAGGTGGTACAAATTTATATGGCGCCGCTGCAATGGAACAACGTAGAACATAACATTTTGATGTAGACAGCAGCGCTAACAAAATTGAATTCTTCAAAATATTCTATTCACAGCCCCTCAAAATATTTTATCGTTACAGCGCCTTGTTAAGCCCTTGATTTGCGTTTTCTACCCAGCAAAACGTTGTGGCACAAGAAAATTACGAAAAGGGATGCGCAATAGGGACAAAACGAGTTCAAAAGTGGGCACTTGGCGGAACTAGCTGTGGCACTTGTATATGCTTGTAAGAATGTTGCACGCTTTCTGTTCTATCCTAAATTCAAGTCAATGGAGTGTAGTCATAGAACTCCGCGCCCGAAGAAAACAGTGACTTTGCGCTAACTTCTCGCAGAAAAAAAAAAATACAGGCTTGGGGGTAGCCATTACCGCCACATACCATATTAGGCAGGTTCGTATACAACTTGCCGACAAGGCACGACAATTTTTTTTTTTTAGTTCTTAGTGCGAGTGCGCAGCCATGTGCCCCAAGATGGTGCACAAAGTCACTGCTTCAGCGACTTTTCCTTTCGAATTCCCTTCGTACTGGGCTTGTCATGTTGTTAATCTTGAAACATTCACTACAACGAGAAGGATAATTTGTGATGTTTGAGCTCCTTTATGAATCTCTTTTCTATTCGTTTTTTTTTTGGTATTTCACTCATGTTTAGGAGTTCTTTATTTGGCAGTCAGAAGTTCATGATCGCCGATGCCCCGTGGTGATTATGGCATCACATAAAGCCTGGCTGATACTTCCGTATGGGTCCTACCAGTGCATACAGACTAAGTTAAACCCGCCGCGACAGTCTATAGTAGTTAGAGTGCTCGGCTGCTGATCCACAGGTCGCGAGATTGAATCTCGGCTGTGGGTGGCCACATTTTGATGGAGGTGACAATGGTTTAAGGCCATGTTCTTAGATTTAGGTGCACATTATAACACCCCTACGCCATACCCACTACGCCATAATTATGCATATCATGGTTTTGGGACGTTTAATCACAATTATTTCATACTACGGCGTCTCTAATAATCATATTATGGTTTTAGGACGTTAAGGTCTAGCAATTTTATTAAACTAAGTTAACAAAGCATGGGCATTTACGTACAGTTAAGCGGACAGTAGGTGAACAGCGAGCCAGAAAATGGTCCGCCATAGTAGAGCAGTGTTTATGGTGCACGGCTACTGTGCCGAAGGTTGTGGGTTTGATCTCGGCAGCGGCGTTCATATTTTGATAAATTTGACAAGCCAGAGACCAGCGTATAGTGTGATGTTATTGCACGTTAAAGAGAACCAGACGGTCAAAATTTCCGGAGTCATCCACTACAGCGTCTCATGATCACATCGCCGTGTCGGGGCGTGAACACCCACACATTAAATGCGAAGCATTTCTTAGCGAGCTTCGGCGACTTTCTTTAAGCGTATCTATCTATCTATATTATCTTCTATCTATCTATCTATCTATCTCATTCTATCTATCTATCTATCTATCTATCATCTATCTATCTATCTATCTATCTATCTATCCTATCTATCTATCTCTATCTATCCGCTACGACTTTAAGCTCTCCTAGCATTTTGATAATGGTACCAATACCAAACTTGGTATGGCATAACATGACTGTATGAAGAACATATTTGACTAATCATAACATGAAAATCATGACATGTTTGTCATTATTTACATTTCATGCTCCTGAAGCTCTTGCGGTGGTTTCGTTCACATGGCATGTTGCAAAACTAGTACGGTATGGCATTTTTGCCTGGATAACACAACAACAGACCCTAACATGAAAATCATGACATGCGCGTCATGTAACATGCCGCGCTCACGCTGCGCTCGCTGCTGCTTCGCTAGCTTCGCATCTATCAAACTCGGTATTACGGGACGTGAATGAATGACAAAGGTATGTGACTGGTGCAAACATGATAATTATCAGTGCAAATGCGTGTCATGTAACAACATCATTACACGACACGCTCATGATGCGCTCGTGGCCGTTTCGCTAGCGTCACATATACCGAGTTTGTTATTATGGGACATGAATGGATGACATGGGTGAAGGACACGTCCAAACATGATAATCTCTAAATGCATGTCATGTAACAACATGACTAAATGACACACTCATGATGCACTGCAGCCGTATCGCTGGCTTCACATATTGAAAATTCGGTATTACGTTACGTGAATGGATGACGAAGGTATGTGACTGGTGCAAAGATGATAACCATGAGATGCGTGTCATGTAAGAGCATGACTACATGCCACACTTAATGCGCCAATGCAGTTCGGGGTGACCCGGTGCGCGTGCGCACCGGCGTTCGTTTTGTCGCGTCTGGCCAGCGATGCCACGCCAGGCGCCGATCTGACTGCCATATGCTTGCAGGCGCGTACCGCGCCGCGTTGCTTTGACGCATGCGCATTTGAGGGCGCCCGGCGCCCCTCCGTCACGAAGAGAGGCAGACGCAGTGCTGTCTGGGTAGAGCTGGGTAACGCCATGGGCGCGAAATGCTGCATGTTGCATTGAGCGCCAGTTTCCGCCGGGACGCGCCGACGGACCTTGGTCGCACCAGTCGTGCCTGTCGTCCGTTATGCTAGAGTAGCGTCGCTTCGCCCAGCGTGTACGCGCTCGTCAACGTTAGATCGGAGTATATCGGGCCCTTCATGATACGCTCGCGGCCGTTTTACTAACTCCAAATATACGAAATTTGATATCACGTAAACGTGAACAGACGACAAACGTAAATGACACGTCCAAACATGATAATCGTGAGACGCGTGTCATGTAAAGCATGACTACATGCTACGCTCATAGCGTGCTCGCGGCTGTTTCACTAGCTACAATTCCACCAAATTTGGTATTAAATGTCATGAATGAATGACGAATGCAAATGACAGGTCTAAACATGATATACATGATATGCGTGTCATTTAAAACATGACTGCATGCTGCGATCATAGCGCACTCGCGGCTGTTTCGCTAGGTCTACATATACCCAATTTGCTATGAAATGATGTGAATAGATGTCGAAGGTAAATGACGCGTGCAAATGTGATAATCATGACATGGAAGTCATGTGCGGCATAATTTGCCACTGTCTTGTAACGTTGTGCTGATTTTCAAGTGTAATATCAGCTTTCCTCATTCGTGCTTCGCATATGATCGCTTCCCACTGTACGTGAGATCTGCCAATTTCTAAAGACGATAGTCTTTCTTGGGGACCATCGACGCAAAACTTTTGGTCTGTCTGTCTGTACACTGGTCTGTTTGTCCGCGCTTAACGGTACCGAGGTCTGGGTACTTTGGACGGCACCAATCAATACACCCAACGGCTGACCCCATCCGCAGCGTCCACCAACGTTGCTCAAGTTTCAGCGCTCATACTTGTGTGATTGTCAATTAAAAGCCAATATTGCGCATATCTGACGCACCATAACAACACGTATATATTCTGTATGTGCGTCCTTTACTATAAAAGGCATACATAACAAATTCTAAGGACTGTAGCGTTTATCCCGCTGCGCTGACGATGCAACGCTTGCACGAAAAGGCCAGTGTTTCCAACGCTTTGCTAAGACGAGACAGTGGTGGCACCTAGCGTCGCCTTTCGTTCTACACTTTATCACCTCTGAGACGAGTGCGCACGCCCGTCTCAGAGCCGCGGTTTTTGTTTTAAAGAAAACTGCCAGACAGCGCTCATGTCTCCCGTGTGACGTAACTTGATGCGCTCGTTCGCCTCCGCTGCACGCTCGAGGCACTCTAACGCAGCACCTCCAAAATACCATTCATCGATTTTCCTGCGCAGAACATCAAAGTAATATTTTGTTCACTCTCTCCACATGCAAAACTATCGTCTTTCGACGACATTTGCAGATTACCATGCAGATACGGGGCCACTTTTTTGTCATTACTGAGCCTAAAAATCGCCTAATTTATTCTTGCGGTCCTCCCTGGTGGCGCGTTCGTTTTGCCGGTATGCATTCACGAATATGGTGCGCGCCCTACCTTGAAGGGCGTTGTTCGAGAAGATAATGTGCCCGACACAGCCATTTACCACTGGTCATAGATAACGTCACGCAATAGTAATACTTGGATAAATATTAAAACAAAATATACATACGTAGACGTGGTGTACGTTGTCTTGGTGGATTGCTACCGCTTGGCAACGCCTGGCCTTGACGATGCCTGGCATGTCCCGGCAGTCCTTCATCAAAAGGAGGTGCCGGGTCACAACAACTTAACGCGGTTAGAAGTGCGAATAATGCTAGATTTTTCATAGAAATCCACTGCCTGCGATGTAGCCATACTTCACCGCTGCAGCAAGGGTCTCTATGAATAACGCTGGAATACCGCGAAACGATCGCACACCACAACTCTTTGTTAAACGCCCTCTTACTTATACGTGGGCAATTCGTCTTCGACACAACACGTTAAAATGTCTTTTTTTTCTTCAATTGAGTGATCAAGGAATACATAACCAAATCTAGACCCCGAACTTCCATTGCATAGGCTTGTCTAACGCCGTAAGCAGGAAACCAAACTCATACACTTGGAATAGATGCAGCCTTTCAATCTAATCACTTCTACATTGTTCAGCTTAAAATACGGACCCTAACTTTAGATCATTTGTACTTGATGCATGCCGTAAGCACAGAAATCGAAGTTATGCGCCGGACGCTAACTGCTCAACGCTTTCCAACGTCGCCTAAATGGCCCCCTAATGAAAAAAAAAACGATGTTTCGCGTGTTAGTAAAGTTCTGTTTCCCAGTCCCGAAAGCACCACTCTTACCGCGACACGTCTCTTGGTGTGTGAGGAAATGCACGAAAAAAAAAAGAAAAGTGTGGAGGCACCACCTCGAGACCCCCGCACCAAACGTCATGACGTCTTAGCTTTTAACGGGGTCTACGTGGTTCTACGTAGTCTCAAATCAGTAAAAATGAATTCAATTACACTGCCATCTGTGGGTGCCATATAGCTAGCACACAAAGTTTCAGCAAATTTTATCGAGACCGTGCCAAACAAACAAGAAAAATAGGATTTGGAAAATTTTTACATAACGCGTGGAGCTTTAAGGGTGAAGTTTAACAAGGAAACATGAACCTTGATTTAGTCGCTAATAATGAACTTATGATTGTGAAAACTTTGACATCGGAGTTTTCAAAGGACAGTTTGTCAATCTAAACCAAGTCTTTGTTTGATAGTGTCCCTTTAAAAGTCACGATTCTATTCACTTTTCGTTGTTACGGGGACAATTGATGCAAAGACGGGACCAGCGTGCCTGCTGATGCTAAATTACACTAACGTTTACCGTCGGAGACAGTCCAAGATATGTGCACGCAAATTTTAAAAGCACGTCATGTAATACTTTACTATTGGAATGATCCACGACACCATTCTACTTACACCACAAAAATGACGAATCTTGCGCTGAGTAGCGCAAGGCTCGAAAGAGTGAATTTGGACGATTATTGTCAAAATCGTTTGTCTGTAGGCTGCTTTTAGGCCGCAGCTTGGTGATTTTCGATTGTTTCCAGGTGTCTTGTATACTTTAGCGAGGTATGTTGCTCTCTTTTTAGCTAACTTTTGAGTTGTTTCTAGGCTTTGGGAATGTGATGCCAAGATCTTTCTAGGTATATTTGCTATAGTAAAAAAAAAAGGGGGGGGGGGGTCTTGTACTTAAAACAGGTTTATGCGTTGCTTCAGAGAATGCTCTTTGCAAAGCAGGTGTGACTGCTGACGGGCAGCTGCGCGAGCAACAGCCACAGTAATCGATCGTCGCCTTTCTATTATCCAACAGCGCAGAGTCTCTCATACGCATACAGTTTACGTACAGTTTAGTCCCACCAGAATAAAGACCTATAGTGGTGACCTAGAGACAAAAAAAAAAAAAAGAAGAACACAGCAGGATTGCAGCAACGCTCGAGCCGAGACGCGCGGACAATTCCTCGGCCACGACAATATAAGTCCTTCCAAACCTATATGTGGACTTCGTGCCTCTAAGAATTCATGATAATTAGAGAATAAAAGCACGGGCGCGTCTTCGTTAACGCGGCAGCATTAAAGAACCCAATTGTTCCACGTAAATTTCAGTGTTAGTGTTGGCGCCGCTATTCGTCAGCGAAAATTTCATATATATGCAAATGAATAAACAATAAAAAATGCTTAGCCGGGCCAGAACACAACCCGAGTCGTCTGCGTATAAAGCAGGTGTTCTACCTCTGGGTCGCGCCAATGATCGAAACTGCTTTGTTAAAAGGCGCTACTAGAATGTCATGTAGCGTGTGGATTCTCGTTCACGCACGTAATGTTCCACAGCAGATTCGTAGATTCGTAGCATAACAAGCCAGTGGTTTAAAGTTAACCACCCATAATAGAATGTGTGGCAAGGCAGGCGCACGTGGCAATGTACGAACGATAGCGATTACTTCACTAGTTTGCAGAGGTTAAAATTGCGGCGCAGCAGCCACTTGGCAACAGTTCATTCAGTAGACATTCTAAAATAGTTTGAGGTGGCCACTGTTGCGCGAACAGCTATTCCTTTCCCTGCGGGACGTAAAAGGCGATGCATACGGGGCCCGATTCGGCTATCACATTCTGCTTCAGAAAGAGAATCTGCAAGCGCCATCCAGCATTTTCATCTTAATAATGACATCGTAGTGCCACTCGCTTAGCTCGATACCATTCGCCGTAGCACATAAAGAGCCTTCACCGATAAATCAAGCTTCAAGTCACTAAAGCTTTGAAACTTGGGCATTTTCATCTCACTGCACTGGCGCTCCAAGCACAACAGAACACAACACTAGACGTGATGCGCTGCAGCACAGCACCATGAAACAAACTTTTCAAATTGGAGTCCAGATGCAGAGCAGTATGTCATCTCTACTGCCTTTTCCACTTGCAGAGACAGCGTGATCATAATAGTAGTTCGCGATGAGGCCTGTATTTCCGCTTTTCAAGAGTTCTTTACTGATATTCATCCCCGCGTGCGCTAACAGTCAACAAAGTATGGTATAACTGTCAGTTTAAGCACAGTTCTGTCAATTTTGTTGCAACAGAGCATCTAATGAGCCAGCAAAGTAGCTACCGTTGCAGTTCACCTGTTGGCCCGTACGCAGCGAAGAGCCCGCTTTGATTGGGAAGATGGCGTCAGCCATGGTGAAGGACCGCTGTTGGAGTATTCCCATCGTTGCCGCCTGTTTTACCTTCATCACCTTGGTCACGTCTTTAAGTTCAGGCCTCATGTACAGTCAATTTTTGTGAAAGGGAACACGGCACCGCGTGGCCTGCGTGCTCCGGCGGCTGCTGGCAGCGCATTCAAGCGGGAGCCATAGCAACCACAGTCTCTCTTTGTGCCACCTCGCGGCGAGCAAAAAATCTCTTCGTTGCTGATAAGGAACCACCGGCGAGACTGCAACCCCCTCCCCCTTCAAGGCGATTACGCGAGAGCTGGTAATCGCCTTGAAAGTGGAGGGGCTGCAAGCTTGCCGTTCAATATCAGCAACGAATGCTTGTTTTGCTCGCCGCGAGATGACGCGAAGAGAGACTGTGGTTGCTATGGCTCCCGCTTGAATGCGCTGCCAGCAGCCGCCGGAGCGCGCAGGCCACGCATAGCCGTGTTCCCTTTCATAAAAATTGACACTGTACATTCTCTTTTTGGAGGAATAACACATCAGTCACGAGCAGGCACCGTGGCCTCTATCTACTTCTATCGTTCTGGAAAACTCTATTGGTGACATATTCACTAAATTCCATTTACTGCTCAAGGTACGCGTAACATTCTGCAAGTGAGCCGCCATTTTCATGGTTATTGTGTTATAATAATGTTGTTGCGCAGCGAACGATTAATCATCTGCAATGCTCATCAGTTGCCATGGGGTGCCTATGCTCATCTTTCCATAACTCTCGATCAATTTTTTTTGCCAGTCCCCCTCATACACTGTCTTCTAGAATAGCACACCGGGTTTTCGCATACGTTTTACATCCCATCGACACATGTTTCTTATGCTTCTACATATCTGCAGCTGCAGCCTGAAGATTTAAAGCATATTCCCTCCTTTGAATGGTACTTTGCATGCGATGTCACGTATAAGTTTAGTAGATTTACTCAATGCTGCGAATGATATGCTGTACTGCTCTCGTATTGGCACATTCACCTTCTGCCTACGACATTAACTCTATAGGATTGTTAAAGGTTGCAGGGCATTACTTCTTGAATCAAAATATTCGCCCTTTTCAAGAAAAGTCGCATGCCTTACCTTATCACACATTCATTTATCTGATCGCAACCACGGTTCATTTTTTCCTGGACTGTAGAGCCAAGGTTCTGAAGGTATTAGATGCGAAGCACTTATGGCCGAGTTCAATCTGGTGGTGTGCGGCGTGAGCACCTTTACTGCACATGCGCAACAGCTGGCCCAAGCACTGCCAGAACGCATTCACGCGCGCAACCGAGATTACCAAGTATTACTACATGGCGATGCGCGGCATTCCCAATACCACATTCAAAACTCATTAGAGCACAGGCCGTCTCGTTGCGCTTACTTCAAACCCATTCGTACCCGTCGTTAGCATACCTAAATGAAATCTATCCTTACGAATTCCCCGATGCCGCCTGCGCCGCTTGCGGGCAGACCGCTACGTTAGCACACATGCTCAGGGAGTGCGGGTCGCTTGGACCGACTTATAGCAAACCCGAGTGGGATGCGCTTCTGCAAAGCCCAGAACTTCAGGACCAAATTCTGGCCGTCCAGTGTGCCCGCGACAGGGCCGTCAGGCTAGACCTGCCGGTCTCCACGTGGGAGTAGCAGGGTGACGCGTGCCAACCTCAGCGTCTGCACTGGACCGTAATAAAGTTGTTCTCACTCACTCACTCATTCACGCGCTAGCGCGTTCCGGCCTTCGTGAAAGGCTGGGTAAGACATTGAGGCCTCTCCCGCTTATACACTCTCAGAAATCACCTGATGGCATTGGGGAACGAGATTACGTAGACGCGCAATGAACCAACGAGATGTATCGTACCCAGAACGCGCTGGCACGCGCCAGACGCGTTTCGGTCCTGCGTAAGTGGCTGTGTAAGGGGAAACGGCCTCTCTCCTACACTCTCTCGGAGAGCGTTCAGCCCTGCGTAAGCCTCTCTTCTTACACTCTCTCGGCAATCACGTGATGGCATTCGGAAACGAGGTTCTGCGGACGCACGTTGAACCCACGTGCTCCCGCGTGACGTGGCGATGAGCTAGCGTGGCCTGTTCCAACAAGAGTATGGGACGGAGTAACAGCAACAGAAACTACACTTAATTCATGATGTGCTTTACTTGCAAGGACGCGCTAACATTGGGCAAGGTGCCTTGAAGAACGAAACCCTACGCCAACCCATGCTTTGCTTTGCATGCTACTCATGGCTTCCTTGAGTTGAAAATGGTTTAACTTTTTGTGTGACCTTGTTGTATGAAGGCAACAGTAAATTTATGTTTATTGGCACAGTACGCCACAAAAATCCTTGTAGACAGAAGAGGAAAGCTGTCTCCGCTTTTTTTTTTTCAATTATCGACTATAAGTAAGATCTCTCTTGGTGAATTTCTCTCAAATATCTTTTTTCTAGTGCTTCTCCTGTCGGCACTCCACCAAAAACTTACCGTCTACCACATTATTCTCATAAGCGCACTACTGCTGTCCACAGGATTGTGTGTATTGCACCACATATAATATAGAGGACGATTTTCCTCGGTGGAATATATGTTGAGAACATTTTTTTAACGAAACGTTCAATTATTATTACAGATTTATGTACTTACCGCAGTTGTGTGCGCTGATGCAATACCGACTGATCTCGCAGGGCACAGTCAAGGATCAATACTCACTTTATTAAATTCATATTCTTTTTCTTTGTGCGAAATACAGCTGCATAAAAAAATCTCAGCATATCGACGGAGTGAATGATGATGAGTGGGGCGAAGCGTCCGTCAGCCCGTCCGTGCTTCCGTGGGTCCGTTCATTCTTTCTTCCGTCCGTGCGCGCGACCATCCGCGCGTCCATTCATGCGTCCGTCCATCTGTCCGTGCGTCCATCCGTCCGTACCTCCACGCGTCTATCCATCCGTCCGTCTGTCTGCTAGTCTGTCTGTCCGTCCGTCCGTGCGTTCATCTAGTGAAGCCTCGAAGAACCGCCATCTCCCATCTCGCATTCCCTGTGGCACATATCCGCTCTAGAACGGGTATCTGCCACCGGTGGCTACGTACTACTACATACATACAAGGGACGAACAGACCCACGCCTTAAGGAGCTTCGCCCCTAAAAGCGCACACTTTAACATAGAATAATGAGAAGCTTGAGGTCATAAAGCTTTCAACAGCATCTGTAATAACCATTAGTCTATTACGATGGCAGCTGAGCCATGCAGCGCGATTATTTTCTTTGGAATATCAACAATGACCTTGTTCTCACTAATGACAAACACTGT